GCCTCTAAATATCCCTTCTCTAAATGAATGCTGCTTACAACTTCTTGATTTTTTTCAGTGTTAGACATCATCTTCCACAACAGGCGATGATTCAGCTTCTCCATCCCCTGCCCCACCACATATCAGGAAGGTTCCCACTCCCAACTGAACACCCCACCTCCAGTTTTAGTTAGATGAATGTCTGCATTTATTGTAACTCTGTAAATGCTCTTCACAGGTAAGATAGGTAGAGAATTATGTTCCTTATCTTGCACAGATTTTTCTCTGAAGGCAATAAAGGGTTCTTTTTTACATTTGTTCAGTGCTCCGCATACTCACCACTGATTCAACCCCCAATTCTTTCCTTATTGTACACTTGCTGCTCTTAGGACATTGCAGTTACTCCACCAATGTCATGCCTTACAGGAGAACTGCCCAGAGCCTCCTCACCTTCTCCAGCCTGAGCAAGCTGTCCTTTTTCGGGGCACACTGCTGGTGTTCTGAGATCGCTGGCCACCATCATCCTGGGGAACACTGTGGTCTCTCTCTTGTGTTTAGGGCTCAATTTCCTTTATCCCCTGCCTCCCCCTCCTGGTTTCTTCCCCCATTTGGTTGTTACATCTTCAAACAGCCTCCTCCCAGGAAGGGAAGGTATATGGATGGTGAATGTTTTATATCTGAAAATATCTTTAGCCGGCTCTCTCACCTAATGGGTAGTTTGGCCAGGTTTAGATTGCTTTGTGTGTGTGCATAAGAAGTTCAAAACAAGTCTGATCCCCAGCTCTTTGTTTATGTATGATCTGACATTTTGCTTTTGTTTTCTTCTGGTAGCCTATAAGATCTTCGTTTTCCTCTGAAGGTAACAAATGGCCCTTCTTTTTTCCATTTGTTCAGTGTACTGTATACTTACTACTGAAATATCACAATGATGTATCTTAACATTGAGTCTATTTTTACCCATTGCATTGGTCACTTGGTGAGTGCATTCATCTAAAAACTGTCCTTCAGTTACGTGGAATTTTTGCAAATCATTCTGTTGGCAGAGTTCCCCCCACCTTTTGTCTGTGCTCCCTTTATGGAACTCCTCTGATGCGGATGTGGGAAGTCCTGGATGGTTTCCAGTTGATCTTCTATGTCTCTGTCTCTTTCATTACTTTATGTGAGATTTCCTCACCTTTTTCTCTGGGTTCTCTATTTAAGTGTTCATTTTTGCTCTCTTGTTTTCATTTCCGAGAGCTTTTTTCATTGCTGTTCTCTACTTTTTCTTAATAGCCCATGGTTCTTTTTGGGAGCAGGTGTCAGCAGTTCATGTTCACACGTGCACTTCATCACCTGGGTTTGGGGTCAGAACCCCTTCCCTTTGCCGTGTGTTCCCTGTGGTGTTCCTGGCCCAAAAACCCTTTCCAAACACTGTGCTTACATCCTTCCATTGAGATGGACAGGGGAAACCACCCTGACGCCTACAGTCCTGAAAGGGATTTAGGAACTGACTGCTTCTTAAACACCTTCCAGACTGTCCTGGTTTTAGCTCTTCCCTCTTCATTCCTACCTTCATCATGCGTTAGGGATTATACGGTCTATATTGAGCTGGCTGTTGGTTATCTACACTGCTGATTACTAGGTCCGTTACTTCGCATTCGTGGACTTTCTGTTTTACAATATCTCCTCTTTTGCTCTCTCTGTAAGTGTGTGCCCATTTATTCTTTTAGTGGATGGTGCTGGACACATTTGTCTTGTCTGCCACCTTTCTCTTATCATCCTGCCATCCATCACGTCAGCTCACTAGGCTAAATACGGACTTCAGGATCTTCCCAATACTGCGCATGGCTCTCCTTCCAGCTTCCCTGTTTAGGGAAATGCCTTTATTCCTGTCTGTCAGCCTCAAAAATAAAAATAATTTTAATAATACCTTCTTTTGTCACAGAGATTCCTGCTTTCTTGGATTTCTGGTATTTTCCCCCCTTAAAATTCAGTACATCTTAACAGAAATCCTACCTTGGATTACTTTTTGGAGAAACAAAGATAATGAGATGTGATCATTGGAATCAAGGAACTTCCAGGGCAGTGGCAGGCAAAAAGATAGGGATCTAAGAGATGATGCTGATGATGATGATGCTGATGGTGATCTAAGAGAGGATGATGATCATGACCATGATGACAATGATAATGAATGAAAAAATCATAGCTAACCCTGTTGAGATTGTAGTTTGCACCAACCACTGTGCTCGATACTCTTCTGTGTTCTTTCCCTTAACCCTAATGCCTCTCTGAAAAAGGTACTGTTATAATTGTCATTTTACCCATAAGGAAACTGGTAGTGAGGCAACAAAATTTTTCCAGGACACTGTATATAAGAAATATCTAAACCAATGTGCTACAAGAAACCAGAGACAGTAGAAAGCCATGTTTAACTTCAAAATCAGTGAGAACTTGACAAACTAGATTTCCAAATTCGCCTTTTCCTCTGGATTCCCTTTGATACCAGCACACACCAGGCTCTTTTCATCTTGGCACTGAATTCAAAGTACCAGCCTTAGCAAGTCTCTCTGTACCCAACCCTTTCATTTTGCCCTGCGTACTACCAGCAGGCGAGGCTTTCCAGTACACGCCACCGTACTGTCCTTCACCGTTGAAGAACCTGCTCTCTTTGCCAGTCATGTCGTGTGTGGTCTTCTGGGCCCGTTTTCAAGGAGCCTCAGTAACCTGGTCCCATATGCCATATCCATCCCCAAAATCTACAACATGGGTCCCTCCATTGTCATTCTGTATAAGTCGTATTTTTTACTACCTTTTTGCTTTTACTAAAACTGTCCCCTTTGCCTAACTAATGTCTACCTGTCTCTCATGATCCCATTCTTTCTGTAAACATTTTCCTGGTACCCGGACCTCCCTGGGATGGCTCTTTCTCCCCAACTCCTGTGATGCTCAGCACAGATCAGCTGTGCTCGTGTTAGGTCCTCAATGTGTTCAAGCCCATGGAATGTGAGTGCTCACTCACCCAACGAATTAGTCATGTGCCTAAGGTACCAGCAAAGCAAGTGTGCCAAAAATATTTTCTTTTGAAAGAATTTATTATTTCAAAAAGTCATCCTAGGAAAAAATAGAATTTCTTTGAAGTGTCTTTTTTTATGGTTATTGTCTTTATTTTCATACCTGATCTTTATAGGGCTTAGAGCTTGTAAAATTCTTACTCTATCTCTGAGTATTGTTAGTTTTTATCTTAGAAGGTTCTTGAGTAAACAGATCATGATATACACTTGTTTTGTAGAGTTGTACCCGAGGTAGACACTCATTTAACATATGATAGTTTTAATAAAACTTATGCATAATGTGCATTCTGAGGTAAAAGTATAGAATTAAAATACCATATTTCATTGAATAGTAGGTGTCATCAATGATAACATGTACCATTTATCTTATGCACCAAAAAAAATAGAAAACAGTGCTGCCAATTTAACTATGATGTGCTAATGATTGTAAGATACACAACAGTCCCAGAGATGTTAAAAGGTAAATGAATACACATGCATCTTGGATTTGGTAAAATATGTACATTGTTTTATAATATTGTACATTGGTATTAAGCATCTTACAATTGTCAATGTCCTTTTAAAAGACATGCAATGTACCACCTAAATGTGAGTCACCACGTGAAGAACTGCCACAGGTAGATAAACAGTGATGGAGCCATGACCTTTCCCTTGTAAGAGATTACAGTCTAATGGGCAGAATGTTATATAAATGAATTACTGTCCTCCAAGGTACAAAGTGAGCAGAGCCATCCAAGAGATTGAAGATCCAAAGAAAGTAAAAGAATGGAGTAATTACCTTTAGTTGGGATTATTTAAAAATCTTCATGGAGGAAGTGGTGTGTGAAATAAGTATTGAAGAATCAGTAGAATTTTGCAAAATATCAATGGGCATAGATGCAAGCCAGCTGGAGGAAATAATATGTGCAAGGGTGCTGAAACAGAAAAATGTAGACATGTTTAGAAAATAGTGAAACCTCTAGATTGGCTAGAAATAGGAGTGTCTCAAGGAGTTTCAGAGAGAATCTTGGAAGGCCATTGGTGCCACACTGTGAAAGACCCTGAATGCTTAGCTGAGTTCACGAAAGCTTGGTAGGCAATGCATAACTATGTAAGACTTCTGAACAGAAGAGTGGCTTGTGGAATAAGAGCATTGTTCAAAAAGCTGGTGTTTGTAGATAGTGAACTACTTTTCTGAAACAGAGAACTATTGATGGGGAAGAGAAACATTGGTCAGTTGCCTCCTGTATGTGCCCTTGACCAGGGACCAAACTTGCAACTTGAGTATGCACCCTGACCAGGAATCGAACCTGCAGACTTTTGGTGTATGGCATGATGCTCCAACCAATTGAGCCACCCAACTAGGGCGATAGTAAATTATTCTAAAAATTATAGAGAAATTGGTAAAAATCTAAACATTTGCTTTACTTTCAAATTCTATATATCATTTTCATTATAAGGCAAAGCTATTTGAAACCATGTATTCTGTTGACATATTATACATGTGTTCATTGAAACTTTATCTGATATGTCTCCAAGAAGCAAATAAATGCCTTGAATTTCTTTCTGCTTAATTGAAACATTACCCATCACAGACGAGACATATTATCAAAGTAATGTTTGTCAACAGTAATAAAAAGCAATAGCTTTCGGTTATTGAACAGTCCCAACAAGCCCAGCATGTGATGAACAGCTCACATGTTGTGCCATTTAAGTCTCACTGCAATCTCATTTTACAGAAGAAACACTGAAATGCGGGTAAATTGCTAATATAATGCTGAGTGTCAGGAGCTGGGCTGCAAACCAAGGCCTAGTGAACGTCAAAGAGCTTGTCTGCCTGTGCTGACTGGTCCGGGCCAGGACCTCCATCCCCCCATCCCACTGCCCAGTGCCCCCACAGAAAGGCTCTCCCCTGTCACTTGGTTGATGCAGCTTGGCTGTGACACAGAGACAACTTGCAGACCTCAATTTTCTGCTTTTTTGTGGTTACAGGAAGAGAAGTTAAACTTCTAGAGAGACCTAATGGACAATCTCCACAACAGGTAAGCTATTTTCTTTTTTTAATGCAGTGGGAAAAAGTCGATTCTTTCTACTTTCTATTAAATGTTTTATTACTCAGTCTTTCACTACAGTTTTTATTACCTAAAACATTAAAGCCGATACACAGAGCCATCCACAAAGTCTATTTCTTTCTGGTACATTCAGGTTTGAGTAGAACTATGTTTCTTTTTACTTTTGTCATTTGGGAATACCATTCTCAAACACGTGAGATGAGGCATGACCCAACTAGATCTTCACACTGAAAGGTTTCCAATTTGTCTATCTCCCCAGGCGATTTGGGGTTTCTCCAACGCAGCCCATCTCTCCCAAACAGTGATTCCTGAACTGTAGTCCCGGGACCCACAGCATCAGCCTCACCTGAGAACTTGTTAGAAATGCAGATTCTTGGGCCCCACCCCAGACTGCTCAGTCAGAAACGTGGGGCGGCACCCAACCCTCCAGGATATTCTGGTGCACTCTCAGGGTTAGGACCCAGGCCTTAGGATTCCTTCCTTTTATTTCTCTCCGGGTCTTCCCCCAGCTCCCTTACCATGTCCATCTCCTGCCAGTCATAGGATATGGTCTGCTGTGTATCTTACTCCAGTGGAACTCTGGTCCTAAAAGTAGTGTCTGCCTTGTCCTTGTTCTTCTTTGCAAATTCTAGATGGTCAAGCTGCCTCCTTGGTGCAAAAAAGACTTACCTACATTTAAGGCTCAAATTTCTATCTATTCCATCCTTTCCCCTACTTGTTGCTATCATCTGGGAACTTTCCAGCTCTTCTAGATCATTCAATACCATAGGCTCAAGACCTTCTTGACTCGCCGCACTTTAGTTATCCTCCCTGACACTACATTTTCATTCCCTTCCCTGACCACATCCTAGGCCATGTCATTAACCATGAACTTTAATATACCAATGTACCTTTTAGCTCTTCAAATTCCTCATACTCAAGAACGCAGGTCACTGGCTTTTGATAAACCTAATTAGGACCTCTAGCCCCCAGGACTCCTCCTCCTCTAGCCAGACTCTCAGCAGACCGCTCTACCTACGTACTGCAGACCCCGTGGCCCGTTGCTTGAACCACTCTTGCCAGCACCCTCAGAATCCAAGCCCTGTGGTCCTTTACCTCAACCTGGGACAGTGTAAGAACCCGCGCTTGTGGACCTTTACCCAGGGCACTGGCCATTGCTGGGAGAGGAAGACCTTGCGAGAACTGCACTTACTGCCTTCACTCGAGTCTTCGGTTGCTGACTGCAGTCAGGCGTCTTTCCGGGGTTGCTCCTCCTCTCCACCACACGTCACTCCAGACCTCTGGCGTTCAAGCTTTGATTCTTCGCTCCTATGACAGACAGTCTTGCCTAGCATATCCATAAGAAACTCAAGTCTTACCGCCCCAGCATCAAGAACTGTATCTCCACTTGCCCTGGCCCCTTTCCTTCTGGGTTCTGAGGAAGAAGTGAGTATCCTTGCTTCTTTCGAAAGGTTATACTTTCATGGGTGACCTTTGTCTTTCCAGTAACAAGTTGTATTATGTGCATCAGAAGCAAAACAGGCCATTTGAAGCTCTCATTCTAGATCAAAAGGTTTCCACAAGTATATTGACGTGGTTGAAAAATAAGAATCAGGGCAGGGAATTAACTTTTACAGGTTGTCTTGGCTTGATATCCTCTATTTTTCCTCACTGTCTCGGCTGTCTTCAGTTTCTTTCTGTCATCTGTTTCCTCCTCAGCATGTAAAATATATTTACTCTCTCTCCCTGCAAAACCCCCCTATGGTCCTGTATCCTCCTACAGTGTACCTGCTCCCTTCTTCATCTGCATCCCAGAGGAGCTCAGTAAGAGCCCCCACATGCCTTTTCCTCTGTCCCAGTCATTCCCCAACCCACTGCACCCCAACGCCCATGTCCGTCATTCTGTAACCTTCCCTCCCTTCTTACCATTAACCCCCTTGTTACTAAAACCCGCACGCGCTTTTCTTTCCCTCCCTTTCCTCTGAGGCACTTGGCACTTGTAGTGGCCGACTTCCTCATTTCTAACTCCCTCCTCTCTTCTTGGTACAATGCCTGACGTCCCTCCTCCTTCCCTGAACACACTTCCCGGTCTCCACCTAGTCAGAGCAGACATTTGGGGAAGGGCAGTAACCAGGAGACTCATGGGCTCCACATGGCTGAAAAGGCAAGAAAGACACAGCAACAATTAAAGAAACATAAGTATTAACGTTGCGCTGAGAAGGCAAGGTGCAAGGTGAGATGGGTGTGGGTAGGCCGGGTCTCAGTGGGCTGGAGGTGCAGTGAGACAGCAAAGGAAATAGCTTACAATGAGGCCTTTGGACTGAGAAAGAAGCATCAATTGAAAAGAATTTAAAAAGAAACCTAAGTTCAAAGATTTGAAAGAAGGTTAGCATGGCCAGGGAGAAAAAGAGAGATGATACACTAGAGGGTTGTATGTTACAGAAAAGACTCTGTCCCTTATTTTATAAGGTTCTTATTGGTTTCCGGTGAGTTATTGGTGTTGATTCCCATTAGCTGCTGTAGTGTTTCTATCCAGTCCCTTCCTGCAATGAGTGAATGAAGAACCATTGCTCCCAGGGGAACAACGTGGTTAGGGTCCTGCAAGCCTTTGGTCACCACGTTTTCATCCATCAGTCAGTACATAACCTGTTTTCATGTGTGTTTCTGCTTAAAGGCACCCTACTTGATATACATACTTAATCCATCAACAGGGAACTCAGGGCTGACAGCGTGGAACTCACTCCTGGGTGAGTTTTCTCTGTAAAGCACCTCATAGCCCTGCAGAACACTAGACAGCACTTGAGCACTGTGCTTGGGGGCCATTGTAAACAGCAAAATTGCAAACAAAAAGCGTAAACATCTAAAAAGAAAAAGCATGACACTAAATGAATCCCAGAAAAGCCACTTGTTTACAATACAAGAACTGGAACGAGAAGGAAGAGCGTCGCCTTCTTTGAGCTCTCAGCCGGAGAAGCACAGGCGTTAGACGACTCAATTGTCTTTGCCACTTTTTGCAACTCCACGAGTGATCTCAAAAGCACCCCAGGTATCCATTTGGGTTACAAATAAATTTTAGCAAATAGGTGAATTCACAAATACAGAATCCACAAAGGAGGAGGATCAATTAACTATGCACATTAAGTGTGTGGATTATCACTTGATATATAGGAAGCTCTATGTAAGTTTGATATCTTTATCATTTTCTTCATTCTTTTATGTTATTAAATATCCTGAGGGCATTGGACACCTCTGAAAAATTTCAGGCAAGGGAAGTGAATTCAGATTTGTGTCCTGAAAAGATCATGTGACTTCTGTGTGGAAGATGCAGAAGAAGACAGGAGCCTATCGCAGTGACCCAGGTGGGAAAGCAGTTTCAGGGCCATGGCAGTGTGTGCAGAAAGGGTGACTTTAGGGAGAGGGGGTCGGGAGACGGTGGCATCCCCGCCTCCCCGCAGCAGCATTCCTGCATTCCCGAGCTGGCCTCGCTCCCCTGGAATGTGCTCTGGAACTCCACCAGCACCACTGGCTGCTCACCTTCGCCCACAGGCCTTTCTAACCTTCCCAGGGTCACTCAGGCACTCCTTGCCTTATGTAACATTTGATGTGACATGTCTGTGTAACGCCACATTAGTCATCTCTGTATGTATCTGTCTCCCTTGGTGGACTGTGAAGGATCCAGATCCCTGGAATCAAGTTCAGTACTTGGCACATAACAGATGCTCCAGAAATATTTGTTTGCATGAATGGGTGATGATGATTCCTTCAACCGACAGGAGAAATCTTCTGCCTCTTCCTGTCCTGGTAACCAGCAGAGTGTCTTGCCTCCAATAGGTGTCCAAAGACCCTTACTCAGCCTTTTCAAGTAAGAAACTATTTTTTACTATAATTCGAGGAAATGTTGGGATCCTAATTCCATACACAGAGGGCCATCTACAAATATGGGACGATCTGTTTTTTCTCGTCCTCTATTTTATACTTCCAGCCTTGAGACCCCTTTTATAAAATGAGGTGATTGGGTGTGGTGTTCTCTGAGATTCTCTGTTGCTTGGGCACTCTAGGATTCTGGGAACTACCCAGAACTGGTTCATTCCAAGCATCGAACTATGAGCTGTGCTTGATTGTAAAGCTGTCATTATCTGGAGCCTTATAAGGCTGTATTGTATAAACTTTTCTCCATGTCATCTCCTGGAAAACTTCCTTGTCATTTCCAGGACTTAAGTTTTTCTAAATGCTGCAGGTTTCTCCCAGACTTTTCCAACTTCCCAGATAGGAGCACTTGCCCACATTGGACACATGCCACAAATGGAAGGCATGCCCTGATTCCCGTGGGGTTGCCGGGGTGGGGGTGGGGGGGCTTGATCAGAACATCACCCATTTTAGGCACCCATCGAGTGCCTAAGAGTGACTAGTGCCCAGTGGTTCTGTTCTTAGAGATGATGACCATGAACATGACAGCAGCCAACGTTTATTAAGAACTTGCTACTTACCAGGCACACTTTGCCAGGCCTATCACGTTTAAATCATGTGATCCTCATAGGAACCCCGCATGATTCAGTGCTACTATCTTCTCCACCCAGGAGGGGTTTAGAAGCTTGGGAAGGAATCTAGGTTTGTGCATAAAAGTTACACCTCACGGCAAATGGACTCATTTTGGGTGGGAAAAGGAAGAGAACTGGATAGAGGTGATGGAGGGGCTAAAGTCCCTTCCTCAACCACCATGACCTGCCCTATGGCAGGCACACAGCAAGCTGCAACACGTATGCAGCTTGTATGTTAAACAGCATCAGTTTTTGCAGAGTTCAGACTGTTGTTGTGTGTTGTTTGGTAACGTAGCCAGAAAGTCTAGCCAGGAAGAGGCACGCCTCCTCTCATACAGAGGGGAGTTATGCAGTCACTGGTTTACGCAGGCATTGGAAGAGCCGGTGCGGCAACACAAAGACAGCCAAGCCAAAAAGACGTTACCAGCCCGGGGTGAGACACAGAACCAGAGGATGGGGCAGTAGTTGGAACCCAGGTGAGGAGGAGCTGTGGTCCTCACTGCCTCCGTGGAGGGTAGGGCTGTTGGACGTCCAGGCTGTGGCAAAGACGTGCCTGTTGCTGTGATGAACAGCATAGTTTCCAAAGCAAAGAGAGCAATGGGGGAGGGGAACCTCGATATCTCCCATCTTCCCCTTCTAGTCTTCCACCAGCACCTTCCTTTGGTGGGACCTGTGCAGATCCAGAGGGCAACAGTCCCTTGGCATGGCGGCGCCCGGAGACACTGGGCGAGGGCGAGGAGGCAGGGACGGAGCTCAGCGCAGGCAGGCGGTGGACCGGCAGTGTCCGCTTTGTTCCAGCTCTTCCCCCGCTGCGAAACGGTTCAGGTTGTTCGAATTAATTCTGGATTATTCGACACTTGGTTTATTTTAACTTTTCCCCAGACAGAAGACTAAAAGACCGACCATAAATCACAAAGGTTTGAAAGCAAACTCTGTAAAACAGACACAATTTTTAGCAATGTAAGAGGATCGTAAAGTAAAACAGTGCCAGCTGGGGATGGGATCGGCAACAGCAACTACACAAGTTTGCTTCGGACCAGAATAATGTTCTAACCAAATGGTCTTGTTGGCCAGCTTGGTTTGGGCCATATCTTTTGTCACCAAAAGGGGCCAATGTGATGGTATGGTAAGTAGCTTCCTCACTGTTTGCCCGGAGCTCCCTAAGCCAACCAGGGTTCTTAGGATGTGAGTCCCACCTGTCCCACCTTTCAGTAAAGTTCCCCCAGACCTGCCAGCAACACAGCCAAGCAGAGCGGCCCGGACTGCCCTGCCTGCTTTACAGCAGTACGGGTGTAGCCCCAGACTAGGGAGCTGGTTAGAAACGCAGGTCATCAGCCCGCTTCAGACCCAGGTGGATTCCGTACGGGCCCTGTGCCCTCTCCTCCTCTGTGTGTCCAGCAGGACCCCCACCTTCTCTCTCTCTCTCCCTCTCTCTCCCTCCCTCTCTCTCTCTCTCTCTCTCTCTCTCTCTCTCTCTCTCTCTCTCTCTCTCTCCCTCCCTCTCTCTCTCTCTCTCTCTCTCTCTCTCTCTCACACACACACACACACACACACACACACACGTCTTCATTCACTAATGGGTCTCCTCTCGTCTGCTCCAGACGGGACCTCACTCCCAGGAACTCCAGTGCAGGGAAGAGGGGCCGGGCTGCTCCGTCTCTTTCCCTGAAACACCTCCCACCAAGGACACAGGATGGCCCCAGGGGACCAGCGAGGCATCTAGGGGCCCACCACCAGCTACTAGCAGAGTGGGACCAGTTCTGTATGCCTTCTGTTTAATTTTAATAGCTCGTGCAAATTCAACCTGTTCAAACACAATATCATGAAGTTATTTTAAGTAAAAATAATGGGCTTCCTTCCCCAGAACCTTCAAATTGGGCCATATTTATTTTGAGGCTTATCTTTACCTCCTAGTTCACGCCCACACACCTCATCTGGAAGATGGAGCCCCGAGACCAGCTCCCACCACGGGTAGCCCGTGGGTGGGATCCGGGGGGAGGAACTGGACCCTTGCACACCCCCAGGCTCCGTCCTCCCTCATCCTTTCCCACAGAAGTGTTGTCCAGACATACAGGTGGGAGAGAGAAACCCAGACTCTCCCGTTTGGGGGTTTGAGGAGCAGTCATTGCATCAGAAGTGGCCCCTGTAGAATTCAGCGGTCTGGCCCGACTACTGAACAAGCTTCCTGCCAGCCGGAGCTGGAGAAGGCTGTGCTTATGTGGGGCCGTGGCCACCACGACTTAAAGGTGACACTAAGTGTCTGAAATTTTTACCACATCCCTCACTCCCTAACTTTGCTTCACGGCAAGACACCGACACTGTTTGTGCCTTAATTCTCCTGTTTCTGAGACCTTTCCCCTAGCAAGTCCCTCTCTTAAAATTAGCTTAAATAACCACTCTGCACTGCCATCTGGTGATGAAAAGATAAAACCACACCTATGAAATTCTGTCCACATTTCAAAAGAGAATCCAGTTCCCTTTTGCAAAAGCTACTGGTTCACAAGTTGCTGCTCATTGTGTAAGCCAGTGGACTCCAAAAACAACAGAACCTACAGAGACAGATTATACTGACACAATATGAAATACTATGTAATGTCCATAACTATATAAATATTATATAATTACATATTATATAATCAGGAAAACAATAGCAACAGTGCTAATAATAACCAAACTGTACCACTTGATAACCTTTACCATATTTTTCAGACTATATGACGCACTTTTTTTAACCGCATTTTTTGCTTCAAAAATCTTTTTCCTATTTTCCTCCTCTAAAACCTAGGTGTGTCTTATGGTGCAGACCCCAGACCCATCTAGGTTTTATTTTATTTTATTTTATTATTTTATTTTATTTTATATTTATTTTTGCACCTAGGTTTTAAAGGAGGAAAACAGGAGAAAATTTTTTAAAGCAAAAAATGTGGTAAAAAAGTGCACCTTATAGTCCAAAAAATATGATATGTCCATTTACTTATCTATAGAATACTGGTTTCTACCTAAAAGGGTTATTGTAAAGCTGAATGAATACCTGAAAGTCTTTAAAACAGTGCTTGATAAACACGAAACACCCAGACGTTAACTACTTACAATTATGAGTAAGTACTGGGAGTATGCCATACATCGTGGTGAATGCCTTACATACTTTTATCTCATTTAATTTTCCGAGTGACCCTGACAAACAGGAGCAGTTACCGGTCCCATTTTGCAGATTAGACATCCGATGCTCTCAGAGGCTGAGGAATGTGCCGGAGGCCACAAAGCTAGCAAATGGTGATGGTGGAACTGGAGCCCCCAACTCTAAATTGTCGTTCAACCGCTCCGCGGAACTTCTGAGGTGGTGTGATGAATCTTCCCAAATGTCTGTATAAATTCCATCCCACCCCGCACACTTACCACCACCCCCCCGCGCGCGCACACGCACACACCATAATTTGCTCAGGAAGCTGCTGGGATGCCATGCACTGTTTCCCCAGAAACCAGCCCCATGCCCCGGGCCAGGGGCGTTCGCAGGAGAGGTGTGGACTCCGTGAAAACTCTGCGTCTAACAGCTGTGCCTGTTCGAGAAACATCTGTCTTACGAACGAAGCACGGACTAAGTCCTACATCAGAAAAGGGAGAAACTGGCCCCCGGCCCGGAAAGGGCCGTGTGGAATGTCTTTAAGATGCACCAACAGGACTGATATCCTGATAGAAGGGCCCCGGGGCAGAAAAGAGGAGTGGCGTTTTCCCTGTTGTACCAAAGGTGCTCCTCCCCCGCTCAGCACGGACCTCCGGGATCCTGTGAGCCCAGCAGTGAGAAGGTTCCCGGGGCCAGGACCCGGCTTACTTCCCCAGAGTCGATGCCGTGGAAGGGCACGGGCGCCCTGCAGACGGACAGACAGACAGACGCCCTCCCGGTGAGCAGCGCCAGCCCCGAGAAGGGCCAGGGGGGGCAGCACCTCACATGGTGCCGTCTGAGTGGGGCCCAGGCAACCTTTCACTGAGGAACCCCAATCTCCACCCTGACGTCCTCAGAGACCGATTCTTTTTGCTCCTAAAAACGGACTTCTGACATGGTTTCCTATGAAAACATACCAGGAGGCCAGTGGTTGCCAGACGGTGCTCTGGAACCCACTGGGAGCCTCCCGCCCAGGAGCCTACCCCTCCCCCAGCCCATTCCAGTGGAGAAGCGGGTCCTGCAGACTCTCCTCTACCCTCACAGGGTCCCCCTGATCTGAGTCCTCACCCCTCCCAGGACAGCACTGTGATGCACTCTCTCACCCCATCTCAAGGCTCCAGGGTGCTGGGCGTCGTTCTTCCTGGTGAAGAGGGGAGCACACCT